AAAAATCCTAAATTTCAGATTATCTTATTTATCTTTAGGCATTTAGCTATCTCCAGTTTGTAAAAAAGAGACGTTCTTTTGTTATTAGATAGGTCCATGCAAATTAACACAATATCGTCTAATAGATTTTAGTGCATTGCCTTTTGGCCGACATATAGGTTCAGATTTGTTTAGTTTTGCTTGTTTGATGCTCCATTTTTGTAGATAATCCAGAGATTCTTAAACTGAATCTAGATGAACCCTCGAAACATGAAGAAAATCAGATTATTTGTCACGTAATCGTTTATAATTGACAATAAAACTATTACTAAAACTCCGTAGATAAAGTGATTTACTTTGCATCGATTCAGTTATACTACCACGGTTAACATAAAATACTACCATAATATTGATTTGGTTCGGTTTTTGCTCACTCCTAGATTGAAGTGGAAGAAAATGTGTACACGTATTACAAGTCTAGACAGCTCTCTATCTATCGAGAAATTAATGGCTATTATTTCCTGCGCCTAGTGCCTAGCAGATATATAGTGCAGGTAATAACAGGTTCGACATTAACTATAAATCTATAATTGGTTATGTCATACGCTAAACCATGCAAAGTTAAGAAGCTATTGATATAGATGTTTGAGTGATCTTAATATGTGTATGCCCATATTGTGCGTCGTAGCTATTGATATAGATGTTTGAGTTAAGAAGCTATTTATATAGATGTTAGAACTTGATTGATATCAATCATATAATGTGAGTCGTAGCTTAAATAAACTACCAGCAAGGCAGCAACCATAGTGGCTAGTTTGGAATTAGATTTGAACCTTCGGCGTTCTATACAACCATTTATATATATATGGACCTTTTTCATTATAATTCACACAAACAAACAACAACAAAATTTTTGGGTGGATCATAAAATACGCATTAAAAATATTTGGGGGTCGCTTCTTTGTCATCAGCCTGCTATCAACCCACACCATACTAACAATGATTATGTATGTATATTTTTTTTTGCTACTGATTTTTATGAAATAACTCAAAAAAATT